ATTCTGGCCGTATAGCGCACGAGAAGGTCCGGGTTAGAATATTGATCTTCAGTGACCCATGCTTGTCGTAACGGGATTGGGTGCTCAGGCACACTGACTTGGTTGACACATGTCATCGGTTCCCAATTGCGGGGATCGATGCTCATGCCGTTGATCACTGGATTGTCTGGTCCAGACTCAATTGTTTAAAAACCGCCGCCATATAGCTGGAATATTGCTGAGTGTGGCGTAAAACTAAACTCTCTCACTCACTCATAAGGGGTGATGAATGGATCGGGTGATCTGGCCCGCTGACTTGGTTGACTCATGTCATCGGTTCCCAATTGTGCAGATCGATGCTCATGCTGTTGATCACTGGATTGTCTGGTCCAGACTCGATTATTTACAGACCGCCGCCATATAGCTGGAATATTGCTGAATGAGGCGTAAAACTAAACTAACTCATTAGCTGTATAGCAGCAATCTCAAAGTATTGAATCTGAACCAGACAATTCAATGATCAACATTATGAACATCGATCTGTGCAATTAGGATACGATGACATGTGACAAGCAGAGAACTGATACAAGAAAGGTGGGAGTAATGCTCCTTTAAAACATATTCCAGTTATGTCGCAGTGAGTCATCTTTATATGGGATGAAATCCCCAAACCCAGTGAATCCTACAAACATAGGTATGATGCTGACTAACCTAAAAACTAAGGGACACAACTCTGCAGAGTATATCTGCTTCATCCCACAAGACAAAGCCATCCATGCAAACAGCAATGATAGGAAGACATTATTTTGAACTTTGCAGCATATAATTTTTTCAGACAACAGTTATTCCAAAATCGCCAAATCCAATGAAGGTCACACACAGCTGCATAGTCAGTCTAAGTAAACTTAGGCTCAGTATTATTCGTTACACTGCTTTACTAAGTCTAACAAAACCTAGTAGAAAGTCGCGTCAGCTAACCTTTTGGACTGACCAATCAGAACACAGCTTACTAAATCGCGAAAGTTCTAATTCGCACATACCGTTTGAACCTTTACCTCAAAAACTCGAACGATTCTGAATGCTATTTTCCACACGATCGCTTCCGAGTGATACACATGGAGGACGAAATGAGTATACAGTTTTTGTCAGTATTCAAGGATGTCATTTTGCGGAAATATAAGCTAATAGTAACCATGTCATTAGAAACCCCTAAGCGCATATGCTGCAGGTCAAATATCTGTGTTTCATGCCGATTTGCGTTTGTTGATAGATCAGTGTCAGTGACCAGGGAAGAGAAAATCCAAAAACCGTTTTGTAACTATGTAAGTCCCGCCGAACCCTAACAAGCAGCCGTTGTCTGATTGGTTAAATCCGTTCGGCTATCTTGCGTTTGATTGGACGGTCATAGGTCGCTCAAAGGTTATAGCTGACACGACCTTCTACTAGGTTTTGGTAGACTCAGCATGGCAGTGTAACGAATAATACTGAGCCTAAGTTTACTTAGACTGCTGCACAGTTAACAGATGTTTGTTTTATTTCTGAGATCATCGTAACATGACACCATGAAACAGGTGATCATCGGACCCTTTCACTGCTCAAAGTCCTGCAAGATCGTTTTTTTCAATGTAACTTTTTCTAATATTTTGCATGTATTGATTAAATGAAGGATTTCATTCATTTTTTGACACTATCAAATATCTTACAGTTATATATATGAAAAATACAGATCTATTGCTGGAACCAGAAACATTTGATTATGATTGTTTCAAACAATGGCTTCACAGCAGATAAAAGATGGCAGCATGCAATATGATTTGAATAAACATCAAATAAAAATAACACATCATGGGTGACTGGAATCGTGCCTTACATGCCCTTACTTGTACATTTATCCACTGATCTGATGATTTTAGAATAATATGTTTTATTCACTGAGAGTGGATATTGTTATTAGAATAGAGTTAACATACTCAAAATATACATCCTTTCTCTTTGATTGGTTCTGTTAACACTAAATAACAGTGAAATATAAGAGACCTTGATCCCATTAAATACATAAAAACAACAACAAACAAATAAATAATAAAGAGAAATCTGCAGTCTCTGAAGTTCAAAATTTTCACCAACTGGCTTACATTCAGATACTGCTTCTAGTATGTGATATTCAGAAATAAAAGTCAACTGTACTACTTACATTGATTTTCGTAAAATAGCCGCAGATGTTGTCACTAAGTAAATAATATTTCTGTAATGCTCTGAGGGGCAATTGAAATAGTGGATGTCAAACTGTCCTGAAAAGCTTAGAATACAGCTGTTTCCAAGTGATCATGCACGCATCCTTCACATCTATTTTTTAGTCATACAAAGAAAATTAATGGCCTTCTTATCACTCATACCACTTTCCTAAGGACTGATAGTTTATGACAGGAGATGGTGGGGAGTGAGTGAGTTTAGTTTTACACTGCACTCAGCAATACAACAGCTATATGGCAGCGTTCTGAAAATAATAGAATCTGGACCAGACAATCCAGTGATCAACAGCATGAGCATCGATCTGACATGTGTCAATCAAGTCAGCGAGCCTGACCACCCAATCCCCGTTAGTCACCTCTTACGACAAGCATGGGTTACTGAAGGTTCATTCTAACCTTGACCTTGATGGGTAGGTGGTGGGGAGGGGGAGGTTGGTAAGGTGAAAAGAGAGGGCCCAGGTCATGAAACCAACTGCATTTGTTTAAGGACTGGTAATTTATTGTCAGGAACCATTTTTTCATCTATTTGGAGAGTGAAAAAATGTTATGGGCTGGAGGGTGCAGGTGTGTGTAGATAAAAGTCTCACAATGATAATAAACAGAATGCCCTGTGACAAGTCTCACCCACCCTGCCAATAATAAGCTATGAGGATCCACTTGCACAATTATATCTTTGATCTATGACAATTGTAAGAGTATGTTAAAGGTCACATGCAACCAAAAAATCAAACATAATTAAAACACAATTATCACTTCTTCATGACATATAATATGCATTGCTGATTATGAAAAAACAAATAAACAAAATTATAAGCGTATAATCGCAAATCAAAAGTGCAATATTTTGTACTTGGGTTTACCTCCCTCGAAACGAAGCAGCCGGGATACCGAACCCAGTCAGAGCGGGTGGGTGTGCACTCAAGTGTAACGGCTGGTTCATTAGCAGATGCCGCCTTCACGGGTCATTGTGTGTGTATATATAGAAAGTTGGGTTTTGTAAATACATGCTCATTTTTTGTGTATAACATTTTGCAATCAACAGACATCATAACATGTCATGTGTTCAAGTATCACACCTGCCTGTCTGTGTAATTACATAATGTGACAGAGACCGAACTCGGGCCATAAATCAATGTGTTTTGTTTATGGTGTATAGCCTGATTGGTGTTAAGTTCAAATTGCATGTGGTCAGTGATCGCAGTTGTGTATTGAATATTGTCATTAGTAGACAGGCAGGCAGACACACTGGTGTCAATAAAACAAGACATTGAGTTTTGTCTGTGACAGCGACATATCTATATCACAGTTAGAAATCGTGTCAACTCTAAATAATGACATTGCTTTTAAGTATCGAACTGAGAAAGTGACTCGGTAAGAAGAACGTGTGGTGAAATAGACAAATGAACTTATATAAACAGTTTATTTACTGTCATAACATACAAAAAACTCGCACCTGTGAGATATCAACAAAACATTATGAAACTAGCTCACACCAAAGCCTTCACCGAGTATTCACCAGACAGCCCGCTTCCAAGTTGCGCGAAACTATTTCACTGCGCACGTGCTATGAGCGCAGCCAGCTGTTGAAACCTGTATTCCCCAGAAAAGTCTGGGGAAAATTAGTGAAACGTTTGAACTCCGATTTCGCGTGTTATTTTTCATCATGTTATTTTTCAACTTTATAAGTTGAATTTGCATTTTTGACGATTTGTTTCGGTAAGTCCATACCGAAAGGTATCAGAATCTGCAAAGTTGTGTTTTACGTTGCATGTGACCTTTAAAGTATGAGCACTGAGGTTGCTTTACGATGAAAAAGACATCGATTGGTATCAAGTTGTATTGTTAGTATAGGAGTACTGTTGTACTGTCAGTACAGGATGAGTGATTTTTTATGAAATCATTTCCATTGTATTTCAGTTGGTTTTGCTTCGGTATGACATAAGGCAGTACATGCCTGCTTAGTAAACTTACTCAATGACATATACTTAGGTGAGTAAAATCACTGAAATACCCACATATTTGAAAACAGTGGGTAACGGAAAATGAAATACCCACTCAACATTCATAATACCCACTCCAAAAAAATACAGTGGGTACAGTACCCACATGAGCTACATCTTATCTGGAGCTCTGTATTAAACGATTTGCTGTCAAGCTAACAACCGTGTTCTGAAAGAACTGATGGACATGTTGTGTATAGAACGAGCTAACAAAACGTGTTCAAGACTATATTACTATGATTGCCTTGGAATTGTTTGTCTATAAAGTACAACAATGTTGTTGACAGTTGCAACAGGTAACAACGGATATAATACACGTTCATATCGTATACGGAGCGTTCACCATATCGTCACGAGTGCAACACAGTTTCTGAACATGCCTCTTCAATATGATATGACAGTCAATGGCATGCGGAACACGCATCTGTCAGTGACTGCCTTGGGGGTCGAACTGGTTTCACGAAACATGGATTACCGTGCAGAATTATTCATGCGTGCGAAAACACCCGGTGAATCGTTCAAGATTCTACCACGTAGCGATGCAATTAACCCATTTCACACTCTTATAAAATCAGCATATAACATCTGAGAGGCTTTTCTGTCGTGAAGGAGCCACAGGATAGCTAAACCGGTGTAAAAACATACAGTTTCGCAATGGCCTAGATACTCATGCAGACGCTTCCATTGCGATACTGTTAATCCTTACGGTTCCTACTGCATTTGTGAACACTCAAGAAGATGTTAAGGTTGCATATGGACTTGCTATTACCTTATTCCGTTGACAAACGAGCAGGAACGCGGGTTGAAGTTTGACAGTTATCCCGAGGGTGTGGCTTTGGTCCGACTAGGAAATGTCTAAAGTTATTATGGGCAGGAAAGCTGTTGCAACCAGTTCGAGGTTAAGCGGTAAGAGTTATCCGCCCTTGATGAGTTTACCGCTGTTTCGCAAGCTTCCAACGGTATGTGTACAACAAGCTGATGTCGTGTCATGAAGTCGGTGACGCCTATATGACGTATGTACAAATATGTAACAGATATGACGTTGGAGTTTCAGAAGTAAACATTTTGTACACAGTGTATGGAACAAGTGACAAGTACATGAAAAGGCCAGATATATCGGTATATGGTCGCTGATAAAACCTTATTTAACATGACATAGCTTTGGACGGTGCGTGTGTGCTTGTGTCTACATATACCCAGCTTATAAGCGGATAGTAGAGGGGGTGAAAAACTTAATGTTTTTTTTTTAAATACATGTAATTAATTTGAACTTAATTTAGAGACGGGCCATACATTACAGGGAGGGCTGGTGTCATTAACACAATATGTTTAGGGGGATCAGTAGGTAATGAAGGAGAGATGGGTGTGATACAGAGACCCCTCTCAACTCAACCCCTTAAGTGAGGATATATACATCTATACACGCCCAGGAAGTAAATATTGCGTCACAGGGAGTGGTGAGCATCAAGTTATGTCAGTTTTATCTGCTAGGTAATCATTATAATTTGGAGTCCTGATCCCCGATGACAGATTTGTTTGTTTGTTGTTTAACGCCGCACTCAGCAATACTCCAGCTATACGACCGCGGTCTGTAAATAATCGAGTCTGGTCCAGACAATCCAGTGATCAACAGCTTGAGCATCGATCTACGCAATTGGGATACGATGACATGTGTCAACCAAGTCAGCGAGCCTGACCACCCACCCGATCCTGTTAGTCGCCTATTTCGACAAGCATGGGTTGCAGATGACCAATTCTGACTTGGATCTTCACGGTTCGATTAGCTTTAGTAATACGAAAGAACCGGTGGCCCTTAGCTTTGTTTTAGTTTTATAGTATAGTCCACGAGTTCGTACGAGTATATCTTACAAGGGACCAAGTAGCAGTGACTTTGATATTGGATTCGAAAAAAGCATATTTGGGGAGTGTCCAAAGCATATTTGGGGAGTGCCCACTATCCCGTGGTTGGTAATATATCCCACGGGAAGGGAAATTCAGTCCAACTTGCAAGACTGTCTAGAAGAGTAATTCATCGATACACTGGCATAAATGTATTTGAATGCCATATCGATATTTGAATTTAATACACTGACACAATGTGATAGAAAAAAGGCCTACCTATGCATGCGGTTATGATGTGTGTGTTTGTTGTTGAATACCGGGCTCAGGAATATAGCAGCTATGTGACGTCTGGACCAGACAATGCAGTGATTAACATCCTGCGCATCTATCTACGCAAATGGGATACGATACGACGTGAAAGGAGGACAGAGCGCCTGACCACCCGATCCCGTTTGTCACCTGTTCGATGTGTTTGTGTATGCGCACAGAGTAAGGTAAATCCGAGGAAACAAATATATATATATACACACACACTGATAACTCGCTGCAGCATTGAATTACAAATGCAGGCCTGCAGGTATCAATACCGATTTATTGTCACATTTGGGTCACCATCCAGCCTACCCGTGAATATGAAGGTTAGAATTGGAGTTGAAGAGGCGACTAACGGGATCGGGTGGTCAGACTCGCTGACTTGGAGTGAGTGAGTTTAGTTTTACGCCGCACTCAGCAATATTCCAGCTATATGGTGGCGGTCTGTAAATAATCGAGTCTGGACCAGACAATCCAGTGATCAACAGCATGAGTATCAATCTGCGCAATTGGGAACCGACGACATGTGTCAACCAAATCAGCGAGCCTGACCACCCGATCCCGTTAGTCGCCTCTTACGACAAGCATGGGTTACTGAAGATCAATATTCTAACCCGGACCTTCACGGGTAGATTCGAAATTTAACAATACCTAGCCCTAAAGGTAACTCATCCGAACACTGCAAAATAGACCCAAGGTTGAGACTCGCGACCTTCAAACTGAAAGAGTGACTTACTATAACACCCCTACAATAGACAGAATATGTACCTTCTACAATGCTAACGAGTGGAAGATGAGGAACACTGTCTGTTGAAATGTTATTTCTTTCGTTTGAAGGATGAATAAGAAGGAAATTACTTTCTCCTAGTGGTGTGGAGCTTTGTTGTAAGTAGAGTAGTCTGCGCCAGTAGGTGGCGCTAAACAAGTGGTAGTTAAGGGGATTTAGATTTGAATTTTTCATTCTCGCTCAAGTGCAAGCACGGCCATTACGTTATTTTCAATAATAGACACGGACGCCAAACTGGATGCCATTGTTCAGCAATTAGAATCAAACATAGCACAATTTTGAATTGTCGCTTAATGACCGCAACGGAGCGTTGAGAGAAAAGATTCAGCATACCACCAAAGATGACAAGAAACTGCGTGCTGAAAAAAGATTATGCATGGAGTTGGGAGGGTAACAAGATTTAACCAAATTTCAATGAAGAGACAATAGATTCACTTTATCAAATTCTTATAGCTATTCAACATCAACGTATCTACGACTGTGATACATTGATCACGTCAGAGATCACAAGGCTTCAAAAACACAATAAACTGATAAAAATAGCACTATCAGAGGGTGGTTGGGAGACAGTTGGAAAATATGTTTCTAACGAACTGGCGAATGATTCCGACGACGATCGGAAAATTACGCCAGAAACGTGCACATCAAGCGCCATATGGAAGTAGGTCAGCTAGGCGATCCGCCGTGCAAGCTGCGTTTCTGTTCAACCAATCACTAACCAATTTTTTCGATCCAAAGGTCCGAAGACAGGAGCATGTTTCGCATGCTGTGACCTCTGTCACTTCAAGGGAGACTGTCATCAGAACATATCCACCCAGAGATTGTCGACGTTTACAGCCTGAGAATCAGCACAAGGGAATCAATAGCTCTGAAGGCTTGTCAGTTGAGTACAGTCAACTCTCGTTAATCCGACACTTGTGGTTGCAGAGAAATATGTCGGATTAACGAAAATGTCGGATTAATGAAAATGTCGGATTAATGTATTTGTGTGAAAATAGTCTTGATGGCGTTGTTGATGATTTGTGTTTTCCCAAAACTCTAACATTATGACTATCAGGAGTATGAGCAGGGTACATCTAAAGTTGTGGTAAAAAGCGTCTCAAAACAGTTTGCTATTTTTCGATGAACATTTCTTCACAATTTGTTGTGGATTTTATTGCTAATGGCTATAAAAACCCATTTTGTTTTCACCACCTTCTATGTTTGTAAACAAAAGGTAAGAGTTCCTCCCGCTCCCCCATCCCAATAATATTTATAAATTAGTATACACTAAAATTATTAACAAACTTAACACAACAATTGTGAGAACTCACAAAAATGACTAAAAGTCCAAAATTTAAGTTAGGTTTAGGGTTCTTTTAGAGGTAGGTTTAGGGTTGGGGGAACGGAAGGAACTCTTTCCCCAAAAAATATTCTTACAGTTTTGAAACACAAAGATTTTGTTACACAAGCCGTTGATGAGCTAAAAAAGAAAAACCTTATATGCGAGTGCGATACTCCTCCCATTGTCGTCAGTCCATTGTCAGTTTCAGTCCAGTCTTCGGGGAAGAGGAGACTGGTTCTAGATCTTCATAGAATTAACAGCCATGTGTACAAAACAGAGTGTAAAATATGAGGATTGGAATACAGCTTTGAATTACATGAGAAATAATGATAATTCTCTCCTACAAATTCCCTGTACTCCCGGTTGGTTTAACATCAGCTCCATATGTGTTCACCAAAGTTACAAGACAGTTGGTTAAGACATGGAGGTATGAGGGATACAGAATAGTAACTTTCGTACATGGTGGTATTCTTTCAGGTTCTTCCCAGGACGAACCTCACGTATCCGGTGGTGCAGCTGTGCAACAGGGCAGGCTGAGATCAGGCCCCGATTTCTCGAAACAAACTTAAGTCTGAGTTTTGACTTAAGTCAGAGTTTTTACTCAAATTTGAGAAAACGCAGGAAATGAATTTTCCAGAATAAACTGAAATCAATATTAAACTCAAACTTAGTAGACAATTTGAGTTTGGTGGATAGATTACTTAAGTTGTTTGGGCTTTTTTATTTAAAAAATGCAGTTGAGTTAAAAATTCAGCTGTTTCAAATTGTCAAACTCTGTTTGAAATTTGAGAAAAACTTAAGTTTGTTTCATCGGGGTCAGGTTTCGTTTCTGATCAAAAGTCTCAGCAAATGTGCATCTGGTTATGTGTTAAGAAAAGAGAACAATCCTATGACTTGCACAAGATTAAGGGAACTGTTCTTGGATGCATTGTCTCCATTTGTTACAAATATTAACAGTTATGGTCTGCACAGCCTACGTAGTGGTGATGCTACAGCAACAGAAACAATGGGATACCAGACGCACGTTTAAGACACATGGAATATGGAAAAGTGAAACTGCTAAGGATGGCTACATTAAGGAAAGTTTTGATAACAGTGAGTGAGTGAGTTAATATTTAACGTCACATCGGCAATATTTCAGCCATATCGTGACGAGAACATTTTACATTGAAATGGAATACTAGGGACCATGGGGACTTACAGTACCTTTGCTACCTGCATGGATCCTAGCTGGATTTACACCATTCCTTTAGCCATTGGCGTTTATACTGAGATTTAGCCATACATTACAATGACAAAAGTACTACGATTAAAAACCTGGTAGACTTAAATTTACTTGAAATGTTTTGGAACTTACATACCCTCTCAGGGGGACAATAATTTTACAGTACTTTAACCCCCTTTGAGGGTACAGCCACTAACAATACAAGTTACTAATCTAAACTACCAATCATTAAAATACATCTATCTACAGAACATATTATTCAAAATTCATCTATTAAATCAATTTCTTTTAAAAAGCCAATAATTAAATGAAAATTAACAGTGTTAAAAAAATCCTTAACTGTTTTCACATTGAAATACTTATCCCTTATGATGGAGAATTCAACACAGTCAAGCAGGAGATGCTTGACTGTGACTCTCTCATCACAAGGGATA